AATTATTTTACAAAATAATTTAAACATCATTTACACTATCGTAGAATTGACAGTATGTTGTCAATTGAATGATAGACTACATGGTTGTGGTCTCTTCAAACTAACTGTCCATTTGTTGTACAGTAATCATCAATGATTTATCATACATCAGAAAGTTATATTCATGTAGAGTACAGTAACTTCTTTATTAATATTAAGAATTTGAGTCAACAAATTAGAAAATAAGTTCTATAAATGGACAATCTTAATGAACCATGTCAATTTATTGTAAAACATTCAAATATTAGGTGTAATGCACAAAAGTACTATTACGGGGTCAAAAGGGTTACCAATTTATGTAAAAATTACAGTAATTTACTGTATTTAAATAAGTCTATAAAGTTTATATATTTTTGATGCAAATGAAACAAATGATTTGTGAATATCGTATTAAATAGAGAATATATTTGACTATTAATAAGATGAAACAAAAATGCTTTAATAAGATATAGTGTGAACTGAACTCATTGCGACATTGCATTGATTTAGAAGTGATGTGTGAAGGCATGAAAGGCAATGAGGAATTCGATGCTATAGTGAATGCTCTGACTGTAAGGCAATGAATGCTCTAACGATTGCATAAACTGTATGACAGACTGAGAGACAGTGAAGGGATTGAGTGAATGAATGCATTGAATCATTGAATACATGCGTAATGTATTGCAAACTGTTATCTCATTTAATGTCAAACTAATGACAATTACATTGAATCCCATTATCATATGATAACCACAAGAATTATGCCTTCAGCATCTTCACAACCATTGAGTCATACGTGAAGTGAATACCAGATAATGATATTAAGAAGTTTGCGGTCAAATCATTTGAGATATGGTTTTATTTGTGTCCAAAACCGAAGTTTCAAATACAGACAAACCTCCCGATCCTTCCTATCAGACAAGGATAGGGTCCGTGACTTCATCGCACTGTTGGGCTCTCATGAGAGACAATACCTCTACGAAGAGTTGCATCGATTGCAGCAAAACGTGAGACCAAATGTGAGCGAAGACACGACGAGTCCACCGACGTATCCGTCATTCTTGCAGTTGAGACGAGTCTTTCTCAACCAATCCCTACCTTTCATTGGGTTTGGATTTCTAGATAATCTTATTATGATTATTGCCGGCGATTACATCGACACCACCATTGGAGTCACTTTAGGTATGAATCGCGAGATGTGATGTATGAATAAGAGACTAATGATCTATGGTTTGTGGTGAAGGTATCTCAACGATGGCAGCGGCAGGTCTTGGAAACGCATTGTCAGACATTGCGGGCATTGGATCGGCCTATTATGTGGAACAGTTCGCAGCTAGGATTGGTGTCAAATCTCCAGATCTGTCTTTAGCTCAGTTACAGATGCCTCGCACGCGATGGTCAATACAGTTGGGCCGAGCCTTTGGTATTACCATTGGGTGTCTGTTAGGGATGTTCCCACTCCTG